GAAATTAAATTGTTAAGCTTGAAATTTTGTTTTACTGTTCTTTGTGCATAGATTGTTGGTTTTTGTATTTTAACCAGGAATAAAATACATGGCGCTCACTTAACTTATCTTATTTATCTTATCTCGGTTATCTTATCTTATTTTGAAGGTATTTGAAAATAATTCAGAATTGCTAACAGACTTCACTTACTCACGACCCCACCGAATTTAGAGCAGCTCATAGGCAAAATAAAAATAAATTAGTTCAATAATTTTTATTGGTACAAATTATGTACCAATAAAAATTATTGAACTAATTTATTTTTATTTTGCCTATGAGCTGCTCTAAATTCGGTGGGGTCGTGAGTAAGTGAAGTCTGTTAGCAATTCTGAATTATTTTCAAATACCTTCAAAATAAGATAAGATAACCGAGATAAGATAAATAAGATAAGTTAAGTGAGCGCCATGTATTTTATTCCTGGTTAAAATACAAAAACCAACAATCTATGCACAAAGAACAGTAAAACAAAATTTCAAGCTTAACAATTTAATTTCATGTATGAAATTGCTATGAGTACAAAAATTGATGTTCAGAATTGTACAAAAAATGTATGTTCAAAAATGTTTAGAAAATCTATGTTCAAAAATATACAAAAATTTCAAAGATGTCCTAATTATTAAGAAAATCAATCTCAAGTGGAATTGACCAATTTAAAGGAAATTTGGACTTGTTTCAAGTGATGAAGGACACTTACTCCGTCGAACTTCTTCCTGGAAAGTTTCCTTGGTCTTCGGTAGTTTGTTGCACTCCTGTCGGACTTTTGAAGTTCTAGTTGAGGGAGTTCATGGAACTACTTCCAAAACATAAACTTGGTCGACTGGTATGTCCCAGGAGTTCTCACAATCTAGTTCATAGATGTCGTAGGAAACCTTCGTCTCCTGCTGTTTAGCTAAAAGCAATAGAGCGAACAGAATCTATCCAGTATTTGAGTTTCTGTAGTGAAACTTCGATGGAGTGTGATAAGTGAGCCTTCAAACTCAATCACAAGTCAAAATCAACCTGGAGATCTTATTTACAATAATTAAGTTGATCAGAGAAACTATCTAAACAAGAAAAGATATGTACAATTTCACAATGTTTGACACTGTTGTTATGTGCAAAAATGAACCTGTGAGGTGTTCAAGAGGATTTCAGTGAACCTTATATGAACAACTTTTTTCTCTGTGACTTAGTTGGATGGACTAAATTATGTTCTGAATTCTACAAAAAAAACAATTGTGAAATTTCATTTCTTTGATAGAAACTATCTCAGAAGATTAATGTCTGTCTCAAACAGAAAGGAGATATCAAAGATTAGGTAAGCTAAGCTAAATACAAGATATAAAGATTGATATCTTCCTCAATATCGTTCCTAGAGTCAAGTTCCCAAGATAGATAAGATAAGAATTTTATTTATGTAAGATAAAGTACTTCAAGTAACGAATGGATTACTAGCAATCTTATTGTCAAATTATTTCTATTTGAGAGTGAAGTAATAGAGATAATCAACCTCAAAATACAGTATCTTAGAGAAAGATAAACTCATGTGATAATGAAAATCTACAATCCAGCCAACAGGTGGATTGAGCTGTTTCGAAGTGAGCAAGCAAAATCTTACGACAGATATGACATTCAGTCTAGATACATAAAAGTTTGCTACTCACCCCAAAAACAGGTTCAATCCTAGATCTCAGCTGGAAAGTGTTTTCTCTGGGACTTCAAAGTGAGCTATCAGAGTAATTCTGTTGGATCTCCTTCAAGCACCAATATCTCAAATTTGGTAACAACACCTTAGGAATAGATTATATATGGACTTCTAGAAGGCTCCAATTAAGCTGAAAGAAAATACAAAAATCCGGCAGAAAAACTATAATTTCATAACCACATTTTCTTGAGTTACATAAACCTCAAGAACAAAAATACACTCATTATTTTCTCAATTCATGAGTAAAAGATAAATATGTTCAATAATAATCCTCCTAGTTATAGGATTATATTGAAGATAAAAAGATACAAATAAATCTCAACACGAGAGCAAATGGCGTCTCATCAAATCCAAAATTTGATATTTCTCTAACATCAAATAATTTGCAAAAGATACCTCTTCACTTGTAAATAGAAATAATCCAATTTTCAGTTCAAATAGTAGAAGCTACAATTTAAATTGACATATTAAAAATTAAATCATCAAAACTTCGATAAAGAATCCATTCATTACCTGTATCAGGTTTTTTATCAGAAAAACCTTGTCAAGCGTCTTCACTCTAGGACAGATATTTCAAGAAGAGAGCGAGCTCGTCTTTTCTTTTTCCGTGCTCCTATTATTTTATTCAAAACGCAGACTCATGTGGTGTGGTGTTGCCAAACTTTCAACTTTTTACGAGAAACTATTAAATCTACATTGTTAATATTTTAATTAAACTTTATCAATCAAATATAGACCTATCCTTGGATTAGTATCCAATCTGAAAGTTTGATTGATAGTTTCAATTAGTGTTACCTGTTCCATTAGGCCATGAAATGATTGAAATAAGCCAGTCACAAGTGCAATGGTTTATTGAAACTGATTAGAAGCGACAACCATGTGACAAGCAGAAGGATCACGTGGTATACTTACCTGTCCAATTCCCACTATTCAACCAATCAACAAACACTAACGACGAACAGTATACGAGGTAAATCAAAAAGTATCATCGAAAAGGAACAAAAATCTACAAGTGTGAGATTTTTCGTTACAACCTTGGTAGAACTTTTAACTCAAACCATGTTTATAATAATCCTTTCATACATAAATAATGATTGACGACATAATTCGATCGAAAAATTTACTGGAATGTTCAATTTTTGGACATAAATAATAGTACCATCTGAAAACGGACCCTCTTATGACGTAGAAACCTCATCTCGCCATAGTTAAAAGAAAATACCAAACGCCGGACGGAGACTGAGGCAACTGATATATTAATTCTTTCAACTGTGATATCGCGCTAATTCACTCTGCCAGAAATCATGTATCATTTATCTCTGTCTGGAATAGTCCTGTTTCAGTATTAGGGTTTTGACGTCACATCATCGCCTCGTTTTCAGAGGTCGGAAAAATCGAGGATTTCAATAATTTTTTATAAAACGTAGGGAGCTCACAGCGATAAACGGTTTGCTGTGGTGATCTAGTTTGGGTGAGTTCTATCGAATTATGGAATAAAATTTTTTTGTGATATAAGCCCATTGGCCATTGGAACAAAATTTTTTTTCGAAAGTCTTGCATTTCTTGAAATTTTTCTCTAGAACTCCACTTGAGCTGACTATTGGGAAGAACTGTTCTCATGTTTTGTGGAGGACAATGAAAGACGAAATAGGCACTATTGTGGAATATACAGGATTATAAGAAAATAGGACAAAATCTCATTTCAGTAAAAAAAATCAGAAATGGTGACTAAAACCATGGCCCATTCGATTCAGTATCTTCAGAAGCGGCCTCCTTGATATCCATTATCTATATTAGACTATCAACTCGAGACGTTTTCGAAAATTCGCCTCTAATTGAAATACAGGATGAAAATTTTCAATTCAAACTTGTGTCCTGATATCGATGATTCTTATCAACTGATTTCCAATATTTATTGCCCAAGTATGAGACACAGAGTATTGTTTTTCAATAGGGTTATTATTGTATCAAATTTAGAAGCATTATATCTCATACTATAGTTACTAGTGGAATTAGTATTATATATGAACTGTTTTATAATATGTGGGACAAACTTCAGAAAGAGCTAATAGGACGTCTCAGAAAATTAGAGAAGTTCCAATAAACATCGGTTAATTGCCTTCTGGTGAATCCCTGAGTACCTAAGAACGACCGAATCAATAACATTATTCAATAATTCTTTTTTCTGTAGAATCATCAGGGTGTGTGAGTTTAAGCTATATAAATCATACAAGAATGTTATTTCTTCTATGCAATAAATCATTGGAATTCATTGCCTGTGGAAGTATTCCCAACAACATATAATCTCCAAAATTTCAAAAAAATTCTAATACCTACCTCCTGTCCCTATCCTACCTAAGAACGCACGATGTTCTTTGAACATTATAGGGATTCCCTTTCGTGCGCTCCAAGCGATAAAAAAAAACCACCTGTTTCGTGTATTTTTCATTTAATCTTGTATGAAAAACTTTCTTGGTGGTTTGGTGTGGTGTAAGAAATAAGAAACACTTGTATTAGTATTTGTATTTGTTCATATTGCATGGATGCAAAGATTTCGGGAGGATGGAATTCAATGTTCTGCATGGCATTAGCCAGGAAAGTAGTTGTTTTTCTCTCGTCACCTACCATTATTGTTCATTTTATGAACATTTGTGGAAATTACTTTCAGCTTTTTTGTATTTATTTAACCGTTCATTCCACTTTGAGCATTGTGGATATTTCGTAGTTGAAATTACGCCAGTCGGGCTATCAGCCACTCCCATTTTTTGGTATTACAGTTTTGTGGAGTGTTTCTTTCCTTCCATGTGGTCTAGATGGCGTTAAACCCGTCTGGCATACTCGTACCCACGGGAGATTCCTCTCAGACTATAAATATTGCCGATTGTGATTTACAAATAATTCTGTCGTGGCTGTAATCTAGGTGGGATCTTACTCTACCTCTCATTTCTCAGAAGTGTGAGGTCTGCCGATGAAGTGATCATAGATTACGGGAGGGAGTCAATGTCCTACATGGCATTGGCCAGGATAATATTTCAATATGATGAAAATTGAATCGAACAATATCATTTTATTATTTCAACTCAAGTCCTGATTGTAGTACAAGAATGGACGATTTCAGAGTAGGGTATAGAGAAGAAAAATTAAAATAAGTATTGTCAACTAATAAGTTGAGTAAGTCGATTTTTGATTTGGCACTCAAAGATTCTAGAGGCATTGTGCAATGAAAGTGGTCTGGTATGCAATTTATTACACCTATTACCAATTAATAAACTCACCTGCATTAAAACTGGTCGACTATAGACATCTAATTTCATCTTTGGATTACATTTACTTGCATAAGTTCCTTTGGTGCACTGGAGAATTTCTGTAGAAGACAATGCAAATTCAAGAAGTTGAAGATATCATTAAGTGGATAATTAGACTTCGTTTGATTTACTATAGAGACACTTACTTTGAATTTTAGTTAATTGTTGTTCAGCAGGCTTACATAGAAAACAGCCATCACCTTCTAGAGCCATACTGTTGACTAAAACAAAGTGATTTCCTCTAACAGAGATGAGTTGTACTGCTGGTGCATTGAAAGCTGTTACAAATCTTTCATTCAAATATGGACTCACCCTAGAAAAATATGTATTCATTTGATTAATCATTTAATATATTCACATTTCATTATATAGAAGTTGCTATTTAATCTAAATATATGGATAAAGAGAATTATTAATATTAGCAAATTTCATTTGATGTGATGAAATGGAATTTTCCTTTTGTTCAAAAAGTGACTACATATACTCCATGTCTCCAAGTTGGAAAAAATGTACCAAAAGAGTTCAAACAAAACTCCAATCTGTTGAAATAATTGTCTCTTAAAATCCAATGCTCTGCTGGAAATTGGAGGTGATACAATGGAAATGTTGGTTTGATAATCCTCAATATCACTGAAATAGGTCAAAGAATCTGAACCATATAACATTTCAGATAAATGATATAATGAAGATGCAACATCAATAAATATATGAATAATTCACTTACTTATTAAATTTTATATAGAGGATTATGATATTATTATTTTTTATCAAGATAATATTCATCAACTCTAAAAATAGTACTAACCCATAATGGAACCCAATATCATGGTTACCAACAGCAACATACATTTTGGTTCCTTCAGGAACCTCGAACAAACTGTAGAACCTCCTCACATAGTACTCAAACTCTGAACTGCTACAATAGAGTCCCTCATCAGTTAAGTCACCTATTACAAGACAAAAACATATGGTCAATTTTATGTAAGTAGTCTTAAGTAGGGTATTTCAATTTTACTGAACCATACTGAATACTGAACTAGATTCATACAGAGATGGGTTGAAAAATTCTACAAGAAAAAATATTAAAGACGAGTGCAGAAAGTTACTGCATGCTATAATGACAGACCCAGTAGAAAATGTGCAATAGATAGTACTCATTCCAAATGATATCTACTTAATTGATTTTATTTTTTAATTTTTTTTGGTTCTGATGCTGGACTTATAAACTCAACTAAACTAAGAATAATCAAGAATATTTCAACACTGGTCTATTGGAATTATTCAACAAATCAGCTATACTTGTATTCTAAATTGAATTTTCAATACATAGTTTAGTAGAGTTTTCAAATCCAGCATGTGATACACAAGTGCTAGGTCAACTTTATTTGATGTACCTACTTGAGTCAATTATTAATGATTCTGATATTAGGTACTGAGTTTTTTTCTCTGATTGTTCATGCAATATCTGCATAGCAACTGGGGCTTACCCAGAACAAAGACCAATTCGGGTTTGTGTATCACCATGGCGGTCTGAAACGCTCTGTACATCTGCCACTCCCTCCGTAATTTATCGAACCAGTGGCCCCTTTTGGAGCCCAGCAAATGGGTGTCTGCGATGACCATAACTTTGACAGGGTCCTCGTCGAATTGCGGTCCATTTTCTGGACTGAGTTCTGGCCAGTCACACTAGAATTTGAAAGGGATTAAGCTTTTCAATCATAACCTAGTTTCAAAGTTAATAGTTTGTCCGGAAGCAAGAGAATCTTGGAATTACTCACCTTCAGTTGTACAATGTAGAAAATGACAAATTCGCAGTATAAAAACAGGAAAAATACACCACAACTTGTTTTGATGATGAATTTTAGGTTAGGTTGCATCGCATCGCTTTTCTGGTTTTGGGAGTGACTAATGCTCCATCTACTAGTCCCCATTAATGAATGATGAGCGAGTAAATTTGATTCCAGCTGCCAACATTATTTTTTCCACCACTAGCTATAGAACCTATCATTATTTACTCCTTTCGAATGCGTAAAGTGTTTTTTTTACTACCAAGGTAGTTTTCGGCATTTTATGAACCACTAGTCAATAAAGACTATACAGAGTGGGCCTTTGAAAACGAAACAGAGGCTCTGTAGGTTGCCAAAACCGGATTATGAAAACAATCTGAAACACGTCAACTACATTTTCGAGGGGGACATCGTTCTAAAATATTTTCAGCCCTGCGGCGTTGCCGCTTCTAATGAAAACAAGCAACAACTTTGTTATTTCAAATGGAACACCTTGTATTTTATCGCATTTTTAGATTCTCCCCGAAGAGCTGATTTCATCAATGCATCACACTTGGGGTCTAGCTGTAATGGTTTCAGGGATATAAAGTGTTCAAAATCGAGATTTTTCAAACTTTAGCATTTTTTTGTGTCGAAACTATTCATTATTGGTCAGAACGGCGCTTATGTCCCTATCTCGACTTGTGGTTTACTATCTACTGACATTTATTTGAAACAAATACAGGGTGGTTCAAGATTCATAATTCTGATCACCCTGTATCTGTTCCAATTAAATGTTAGTAGATAGTAAATCACAAGTTGAGATAGGGACATGAAAGCCGTTTTGACCAATAATGAATAGTTTCGACACAAAAAAATGCTAAAGTTGAAAAATCTCGATTTTGAACACTTTATATCCCTGAAACCATTACAGCTAGACCCCAAGTGTGATGCATTGATGAAATCAGCTCTTCGGGGAGAATCTAAAAATGCAATAAAATACAAGGTGTTCCATTTGAAATAACAAAGTTGTTGCTTCTTTTCATTAGAAGCGGCAACGCCGCAGAGCTGAAAATATTTTAGATCGATGTCCCCTCGGAAATGTTGTTTGGCGTGTTTCAGATTTTTTTCATAATCCGGTTTTGGCGACCTACAGAGCCTCTGTTTCGTTTTCAAAGGCCCACTCTGTATAGTAGGTATTTATCAATAAATACTTGTCATTATGCTGTCATGGTGACTCGATTTTAATTAGAATTGAAAAGAAGTTCTTTCATAGTGACATATAGATCCACATTTCAGTTTCACAGAACTATAATGATTAAAATATATTGCTAGTGGGGAAAAAATTCAATACACACCTTGATGGTAAAGAAGGCTGAAGCCTCGGGATATAATCATGGTATGGGTAATAATTATCGGTAAAACTGCACTTATCATGCGATGGGTTTGTTTTTCGAATATTTTTTTGGTACTTATGTATTTTTGTCTGAAAAACGCGATTTTGATAATAAAAATGTGAACAAACCACTATTTATCGAGATATTTCAGGAAAAAGTTCGAAATTTCGCCTTCTTTTTCCCCCTATGTTGGATGCATTTACAGCTACTTACTCTTCTTATTTTGTCATTGGACACTTTATATACTCATGATGTAGGTACTTCAATGACACGTTTTCATATAGAAAATTCAACTCGAAATATGATTTTTATGGCGAGTTTTTCATATTTAGTGAACAATCATACCAGAGATGACGGCCATTTAATCAATAGTCCATCCAAATATGAGATGTCAGATGTCAACAGATTGCTCTTGAATGACATTATACACGCTTACACGCAATTATTTTGAATGATATTTTTCCTTCTCTTCACTAAATATGGATAAATCGCATGAAAATCATATTTCTCGTTGACTCATATAGTTCGATATGTATTTTCGAACCATTGAATTTGCTTTGTATATATACAAAATAACGAAAAAACGAAACGACATAGTTATATTTGTTTTCCTAGGCAGCAATAAAGTAGTGAGCCTAGGAATCCAGCCAAGGCAGTCAATCTACTTTGCTGCCATGTGAAACAATTGTTTCTGTTATAAAATCAATTTTGTGAATTTTTGTATTTAAAACTCCATCATTTTGTGATCACTCAATGTCATTGTCGATTTTGATTACCAAGTGTCACAGGAAAGCCACTTTCTATGCCGTTTGGAGAAAATAGTTCATTGTTTTAGGCTAGGAATTCAGATTGAAAACTCCTTCATTTTGTGTTCACCCAATGTCAGTGTCTATTTTGATTACCGATTTCATTCAAATTACTTGGAACGTTGCATAGCAACAAACTTTTTCTGCCTAGGCAGAGAAAGTACACCTTTGCTGCCTGTTGAGTATCAGAGAAAAGCCACTTTTTCTGTCGCTTGTAGAAAAACGATACTTTTGCGAAAACAATATTTTGGAAAGCATTGAAATTCCAGGTTTGCCTGAAATCACTGTAAATCATTGATTGGAGGTAAATAGATGAGAGATAGAATCCTGGAAACTCTTTCATTATGAAATATAGTCATAGTAAATACGAAATCATTTGCAGGAATAGGGCGGAGGTATGTTGATAGTTGAGCTCCATTTTTTCAAATCTTTATTCAGATTGCGTATGAATATAGTGAAAAACAATTTCAAATTCCTGTGTGATTGTGGTATTCATTCATTTTTTAGTCATAATTCTTCTTATCGTCAATATGAATCAACAAAAAACGATAACATATCATATAGAGTGTTCATACAATAAGTAATAATAATACGATGTAAAGAACTTGTAAGTATAGATATTCAGTAACTGAAGCATATTATATGCAATTATTATAAACTACCTACTTTAACAATATAATTTCTCGAAAACAAGAAATAATTCGAAATTATATATCTCAATCAAATCATTTAAGTACATTTCATTCAGTCCGAATAACTTTTTCAGATAGGTATGTATAGATGTAGGGCACTGATATAATTGATAGAAATAAACATGAACTCATTGAGTATAATTATATACAGGGTGATGCATTAAGAATGGGCAATTCCCGAAATACAAATAATAGTAAAAACCAAAATATGAAGATTCAGCCTATAACATGATCAATAAGAATGTTGCTGATTTAGGAGGTACAGGGTGTTCGAAAGGCTGATTTTATTTCAAAATTTCTCAATAACTCTGCTGTAAGTTTCAACAGCAAAACAGCATGAACATGACATTTTGTAGTTTCAGGTTTTCTGACATGGGAATTACGAATTTGTATTTTTTTGTTATTGCTCATAGATAGTGGCATTCTGTTACTTTGGTAAAATACATCATATCTACTTTGTTCATTGGAAGATGATTAAAATAAGTCGATGGTCTGAAAGCTCGTTTTTTTACATCATGGAAGATGTACCTACTCTTTTTGAAATTGTCTATATATAGCTCTAACGGTTTTTACGTTATTCGCTTTTGAGGAAATTTGTGATCCACTCATTACATTTTTATTATTTCAAATTAATAACTTAGCGAAGTGACAGTGGAAGTAAAGAAAATAATCAATAATGACAATTACTAATAAAGCCAACAACAAACAGAATTTCAGAGTAAATCTTCTATCAAAGTTATGGAGATATTTACAATGAAGTTTTTCCTTGAACACCCTGTATCTACAAAATTTGTGAAGGTAGGCCAAATCTTTATATTCTGGTAGTTCAGAGAGTGCCCATTTTCAATGAATCACCCTGTATAGGTACTAGAAGTGACATCTTTGAAATATATAATTTGGAGAAATAACTAAATAATCCACGACTATTTCCTATCCACAAGGTTAAATTACAATAACTCCCTGATTCGTTATAAATATCAAATTGCACAATATATATCAACAATATAATGAATAACAACAATAAAAACAAAGGAAATCACATGCCGTAGGCACCTAGAGTAATGATAAGAATAATTCTAGAATGAAAATTATTTAATTATCATTACTCTTCGGAGGAGGAATATAACGTATGTAAACTATTTGGGTAATTCAAATAATAAAATGATTTATATACATAGCACCTATTCACTATTTACACTGATTCATAATTTTTAGCGCAAATATCCAGTAGCGATCCGACAGGGTTTTTATTTGTCAAGAAGTTTATCTAAATAAAGGACCCCCCAAAATTTGGTAAGGTAAATTGGGTCCCTGTGGATTTTCCTCATTTTTGTGGTATGATGTAGTTCATGTGGTTCTATAAAATATTTTCATTGAGCCAATCCCCAAAAATGGACAGTTTTTTTCCCAGGGGGGTTTGAATTCAATTTTGATCGAATTGACCATTTTTTTCTGAGAAAATGAACGATATTCCAAAACTTTTCATTCCATTTGATTACTTCTAAAAATAGATTCTTCATAAAAATATATAATGGGAGAGAATTATTACCCCCAACCTAAGTCCATATGATTCCGATCAGAAAATCATCGGGTGACAATCCAAAAAAATGGACAGTTTTTCTGCTATAGGGTTTTTCAATCCACATTTTGAAGAAAAAAGACTTCCATTTGATTCTGAATAGAAAGACAACTTTCCTCAATATTGTATTACTGATGATATTTCATTCGGAAATAAAAAAATCCGTGCTACTCTGAGAAGCATAAGAAAATGTTTAATCGCAAGATATATGGAAAAAGATTTATCGCATGATTGCCCCCAGCAAATGGGAGGGAGAGGAGGAATTCACATTTCGATCATAATCTCTGCTAAGTTTATTTGGTAAAATATTTGAATTTATAATTTGTAAGATAATGTTTTTTATGGTCAAAAATTCTATCACCACTACTCAACATGGTTTTTTCAAAAAGCGTTCTGCACTTACAAACCTGGTGCCCTATGTACAAGATATTTATGGCAACATGGAGAAGGGGATCTCAACTTGTGCGGTGTACACCGATTTTTCTAAGGCTTTTGACAAGGTTCATCATCCTACCTTGTTAATAAGGCTTAGAAATTTCGTTGTGCATGGTTACCTGCTGGGACTTGTTACTTCATATGTTCAGGACAGATTTCAGTACATAGCACTGAATAACACAAAGTCTGATTTGCTGCCAGTTACCTCGGGGGTTCCTCAGGGCTCCCATCTAGGGCCGCTACTATTTAGTATCTATGTAAGTGACGTCGGGAGCTGTTTCCATCACTGCAATATCTCATTATATGCCGATGATATGAAAATTTTCTCTCCTT